ACTGACAATAGTGAGGGACCAACAACAATCATCAACAATTGCAAGGGGCCGAAGAGGGCAACAATCTTCATGAACTTAATTTAAGCTTTTTTTTTTTTTTTTTTTTTTTTTAAGGTTTGTAACTAAACTTATTTTATTTTGGAACTTTGATTTGTAACTTATTTTTTTTGCTTTTGAGTTTGTTGCTTAACGTATTTTAGTTTTGTTACATGCATGTTGAATGTTGAATTTAAGTAGTTGGATGGCAGAATATATTAGAAATAAAGTTTGAAATTAAGTAGTTTGACACTTTGGAGCGTCAATTTAAATGGTATGAATGAATTGGTATTTGAAGAACAATTGGTATTTCAATTAGGGCTATGAATTTTTAAATTAGTATGAAGTAAAAGACTAAATTTCAATTGATATGAAATTGGGTTGACAAAATTTCAGACCAAAAGCCAAAATATCTCAACTTTCAGCCCAAAATCAAAATTCAGTCCCGATCTATCTCGAAATAATGATAACATCTTGGAAATACTGAAATTTCGATTCGGAATCGATCTTCAAATTTCGTCCCAAAAATAGACGGTTTGAGATTTGGGATCCTTTTTCGGTTCGGTATCTTATACCAAACCAACCCTAATCATCTTAGCAACTTGAAAGTTGAAACATTCATAATTCAAATCAAGTTCATTCATCATGTTTGTGCCACTGATTTCCAACCGTACACTCATTTCCCTTTATTTACCTCAAAATTTTATCAGAATTATTACTCAAACTTAAATTTGAATTAAAGAACAATTTGATTGGTGCCGCACTATTTAGTGCACAAATTAAGTATATATCGCATCACCCTTTAGTTTGCAAATTTGGTTTAAAAATTTGGTTTTCCTATTGTGACAGCAGTCCCTAAAAATTATGGTTTTTGTAATTTTTAAAGCGTGATTTTACGAAAATGCCCTTAGAGGAGAAGGTACTGACCTTCGTTGATCAACATATAGTGAGACGTACTAAAAATTCTTTTAGTGTATTTCTGAAGTACTCGACGATATGAAAGAGTAAGCGCAAGCAGAAGTGAATTTGAAATTACGAACTGTAAGTATTTGGAAGAAATAACTATTCTACTTATATTATATTAATGTATGCTAAATTAGGAGGACAAGTGTGTATGTGTGTGTGTCTGTGTGTGTGTATGTGACGGAAAGGGGGAAGAAAAGAAAAGGAATAGGGGAGAAGAAGAAAGGAGGAGAAGGAAAGGGCTGCTGCCCAATCAGGAAGAGGAGAGAAGTGAAGGACCAATGGGAGGGAAAAGAAAGGAGGGAAAGGAGAGAAGAAGAGAAAGAAAAAAGAATTGGGTTCGTGTGACCCGTGGACTTCGGCGACCCAAATTCATCCCTTCGACGGCTTTTCCTGGTAAATTTCTTCAAGGAACCAATTGGAAACCTCCCTGTGACCTTCCATCTTCCTATTACACCTCAAAAATCAAGGGTTTTGGCCTTGAAAATGAGTGAACCCGCACGGTGGGGTGCGGCTGTTTTGTGTTCGAATCACTCAAATTTGAAACGTTTTCCTACAATTACCACCACCACTGAACTCTCCTTGAGGTTTGGAACAAAGCCCAACCAATGGTAGGGGCGGTGGAGCACTGAAGGTGACAATTCAAGAACACCTATCTTTAGGGTTTCCGACATATTTATGTAAAATTTAAGCTCTTACTGGCCAAATTGGCCTTGGTCACAGGTATAAAAGTTACTCTATTCATTGAGATCTTCGTTCCTGTAAATTTTGGTAATTTTTAGAAATAGTTGTATTTTCCGGCAAGTTGGGGAGACCGCCACTCGCGGCCGCACGTGGCCAGGAGACTGTCGATGCTACTTTTAAGCTAAATTAAATGCCCTAAATTCATTTTTGATATCCGAATGTCATAGGTTGATCGTTTGAATTAAATTTTGTTACGATACTTGGTTTGGCCAAAATATGAATCGACGATCCGACTGCTAGATCATCACCAAACTTGGATACATTATAATACGTAATATTTAAGGATCATAGGAATTTACGGATCGGGAATCCAATGTACGGATCTTCCCGAATTGGATTTGTAAGTTCATAAAATAAATGTTAACCGCCACTTGATTTTGGGCAATTGGCGGAGGTCCAACCGTTGGATCGTAATGAAATTTTAGTATGTTATTCTAGAAGTATAATGTGTATGTTTGGAGTTTGCGGATTAGAAATCTGAGATGCGGATCTTCTGGATCGAGTTTTGCAGGGTTGTGGACCCAACCATCGATCTTCGATTGACGGTTGACTTGTGGTCAATGGGTCTCAAACTATTTTAGAACGTCCTTAAGGATGTGCTTTATGTGAATTACGTATTCTATTGATAAGAGTTTTGAGATGTGATTCTATAATTGGTCACAGTCGCTAATCGTTCGGGACACCTTGATGTGCGTGCTAGAGAATCATAGCGTGGACTCCAGGTGAGTGAGTCTTGTCCTTTCTATCGTATGTATATATGTATATGTGTGTGTGTGTGTGTGTATATATATATATATATGATTGATAATTCTATAAACGTTTATAAATCGATTATTACTTACGATTACTATGAATGTTTTGAAGTAATTATTGTGATTTACGATTGGCTTGATCCCTGTTTAGGGTACGTAGGCAGTTTAACGAGACGTTAGATGCAGCCATACAATAAATGAGACTAAATAATTGAGACAATAGCCTTGTTTGAGGAATTGAGCAATGTGAAGGAGCTTGGTGGAAAATGTGAGATTAAACCTTATGTTTTAGTGGTTAAATGTTGATTATAAATCAATGTGTGAAGAATCGTAACATTGAAGTGAAAAATAGTTAGTAATGATAGTTAATTTAAATAATGTTTAGTTGGGTTTAGTACTGATAATTATTTCTTAAGGTAATTAGTTCAGGAGTGGGGAATACAGCTTATGCATTATATGCCATTTGTATATATGTTATATGTTTGGAAATATCATGATATGGTCAAATTTTAGATTTACATCTTGGTATATTCACATGTATGTTACTTGCACGTAATTAAGGGTGAACGCTCTGAAATGCAAAGGTGAATTCAAGACACCCCGGTAAGTTTATGTGAGTTATGGTATTAGTTGAAATGATTGAGTTATGACATGACTACATTTATGTTTTAGGCAACTCCGATATTGTCGAACAAGTTGCCTGTGAGTATACATGTCATATGAGATTGCTTTAGTTATACGAGATGTGTGATGAGATGTATTTAGAGCTCATAAACTTGCACCCCGATGTTAGTGCTCCTGCCCGTGGCCAGGGTATAGTCCTTCACGTGATGTTCACCTCCCGCACCTTACGCTCACCTTGGAACCAAGGTAAATGCACAGTCATGTCATACATACCACTATAGGTGGTTTCGACTCGTAGGTAACCCACGATTATTCGCACAGTCTTCACGTGATCGTAGCACTTGAGCGTATTTATTTACACCCAGTCATGTCGTACAGACCACTTTAGGTGCTTCCGACTCGTGTGTAGGTATACTTATTGAGCTATGGATAAGTCGTACAAGTCACTAGAGGTGACTCCGACTTATGAGTTAGCATATATGATGAGATATGTGATGAGCTAGCATATATAATGAAATATGTGATGAGATGCTAGCATATATGTGATGAGATATGTAATGAGATGCTAGCATATATTTATGATGAGATATGTGATGAGATGCTAGCATATATGTGATGATATATGATGAGATGCTAGCATATATTTATGATGAGATATATGATGAGATGCTAGCATATATGGGATGAGATATTGATTCAACCGTACATGATAGGTGGATCCGGCTAACATGCCATTTCCTATTGGTTTATTTCACCTGGGTTGCTCATTCCTGTTAAGCTATTTGATGTAGCATAACCGTAAGACTATTATTTTGGTTATGGTTTTGATTTATAGTCACGCCTGTTATTTTCTAGGAAATTAAACAGGTATTACGGCGAGGGGCTACTATCTTTGGTAGTTGGAATTGGTTTGAAGAGTTTTATTTCACTCACTCACATTTTTTGTTTTTGTATCCCTCCAGGTTCTAGCAGCAGAGTTCTGTATCAACGAAGATTCATGGCACTTTTTAGCACATATGTTTTTTATGATGGTATAATCATTATCTCACCTTACTGTACTATACCTATGCTCTGTATTGCGCGTGAAATAGGTCTAGATCCGCTCACCGCGCACTTGTGTACTTGCGCACTTTTAGATTTTAATTTATCACATTTTATATATTATCACACTTTATGGCTTCGTCACCTTCCAGATGTTGGCCAGCACAGCTCGATTCGGAGTCCTAGTGGACATTTCGGGTCGGGGTGTGTCACCTATAGCATTATCCTTATATATAACTTACAAGAGAGTAGTGAAGAAACAACTGATTACTTTAAAGAGAAAATTATAATCATCTTCAGGAAAAGGACAATGTACAGTTTGAGGCATACAGTTGCAATGGGACAAAGCTAATAGGCACATTTCTAATAATCTTGTTCAATATTTACATCTTTTTAAAATAAATAGAGAATTAAGCGAGATTAGCTTCCTAAGGTCACAAGACGCAAGCATCGGCTTCTACTTCAGATATGAAGGGCAGAAAGACTGGGGCAACATGTGTTAAAGCTTAATCTGTAGGCTTTTCTAGAATCCATTTTTTATGAGGCGCCAGATAACATGAAGTATCCCAAACATGCTCCCTACAGCCACAGCAAAGTAGCTTCCTGGTAATTACATTGCTGCTACCTGAAACTATATAAAAGAAGTTAACCGTGCAGAATTCAGAATTTCGGAAAATTAGCTTAAAGTATGTCAATATATGCACTTCAAAACACGCAATTTTTTTCTTCTTTCTCTAAACTTCTTAAAGTTGAGACAAAGACACAAAAAGAAAATTTGTGATAAACAACCATCAACAGCAATTTCAGAAAATGGAAAAGTAGTTGTTAAGAAGGAGAAGCTTACTGTTTTTGCCTAGCAGAGATAACAGAGCAGACCGTCTGTATGAGAGTGAGCACTAGAAGAATAACAGCTGCAATGATTTCTTTAGTTGTCCAAGGTGAGTTGAAAAAATGTTTTATCAAATATTCCATCCCTCTGTGCCTGAACATTTTGTAGTACTTGGTCAGGTCGTCACAAAGAGTGGCAAAGTAGAACTCCTCCGAGTCCATAACGACCCCATCCGCTAGGTTCTTAATCATCGTACACCCCTTACTGCTGTCACCTAGCTTATTTTCAACAATTCCATTCTTAACAAGCAATTCCACGTCTTCTGGGGTTTTCATAAGAACGTTCAAGATGACAACATAATCGTTTATGTAATTCTCAACTTTCTGGCATAGGCTTTGTTCATAGACAAGGAGATTTGTGAGTGTAACTTCTGATTGATCACTTATTGTAATTTTTGGAAATTCCAATACCCCATCTTCAAATCTTATGTCAAATATATTTCTACTAGATCCCACCTTAAACTTGACTCCAGCGCGGTACAATTGTGTCATGCTGGGTGTGAGTGTGAGTAGAGTTTCGAGTGGCCCTTGAGCTTGTTGTACATCCACTACAAATGATGATGACCTCATGCTAGATATGGCTAGAGTTTTAGATTGCCCTCGAGCTTGTGGTACTTCCAATACTGATGGTGGTGGCAATGGATATAACTTTCTAACAAAATCAACGAAATGTTCTACCTCATGAGGAGGACGTATTTGGGGCAAAGCATCTTCCGTATCTTTTAGATACATTAGATTTTTGAAGAAATGGTGCGAAAGATCAATTATGGAAGTCGTCTCAGTGTCGACTCTATTTCTCTCCTGATCAAAAAGATCCACAAGAATGAAAAACGGCAGTTGATTTTCAAGCATCCGCATGTCAGGCCATACATCCTCTAACATCCTTGGTTTGTTGAATATCCGGTCAGTCGGAACTCGCAATTTCTTGTAACGAAACCTCATTAAGATCTCAATGATGAAGGCCGCATCCACTAGAATGATTCTTACAAATTCATCACTGGTAAACTTAATGGTCTCTGCATAGCAACTGCGCAGCACTGCTTCTTTGTCCCTTATTCTTCTTATGCAGTACTCCAACTTAACATCGGTACGATCTAAAAAATCTTTTAGGTATCTATATTTGAGCTCTTCCATGGCTTTTAAGGTTTCCTTGCCATGGTGAAGGGGGCCTATAGAGACTACTTGAGGTGTGTAGGCCTTTTCACTTACACGTCGTAGTCGCTTAGGAACTCTGTAGATACAACACGAAGGAGACAGTGGAGGCAATCTATCCAACTCCTCACTCATCGAAGTTACTAGTGGATCATGATTGCTTAGTTCCATTTTGATGTGTTCGTGATTGTAGTGGATGTCAATGATGATATGAGGTTCCTAGAACCACAATTAACAAACATTTCATTACTTACATTTCGATATCCTCCGACCAAAATAAGGTGAAAAAAAAAATGAAAGATTGAGAATCGGGTAAGTTTGGCTTGTTAAGTTCATATAAAAAAAACTTGGTCAACGCTGTGTTCTTATTTTAAATGTTTGTTTTATGAAGTTGCCTTTCCGATAAAAGAAGATAAACTAACGCTGTCTCTTTCAACTGTTTGTATATTTGGATGTTTCTGTTACAAAATTCCTACTAGCTACTAGCTAGATTTTGATGTTTCTGTTACAAAATTTCGACCATCTTCATGGGGATGAAGCTTGAAAATTTAAGCTAGAAAATTTTAAGTCATAATCCAGAAACTGCATTTCTCTTTCAATGGTTATGGCTTAAAATTTTAGCTCAAGATTACTAAATAATGATTTTAGTCTAGTTATTTATTTTCGGTAACATTTTAAAAATAAAATTTATGTATATTATCCTAATTTATTTTTATGCACACCAAAAAAATATTTATATTCCCACAAATAATTAAAAATCGTCACTTAGTATTACGATTTAGTGGTATTCCTCTTCACTTGTAAGTGGAGGTCGTAGATTCGAATCTCGTAGATGACGAATTCGATACCAAATTAGCCTGCCCATTGTGTGGCTTAGCCGAATTCCGGTTCTCCTTAGTGTAGAAATATCGATGTACTAAAAAAAATAAAATTAAAAATCACACAAATACGCAAGTATTTACAAAGTTTTTTATTTATTTATTTTTTTCCTTTTTGGTTAACAAACGAAATTATCTATACTAAAGGGGAGGTGGTGGGTTTAGCCTCACAATGGGCTAGCAATAATATGGTTCAAACTTGCCTTTGGCGAGAATCGAACCTAACACCTCTCACTTACAACCAAAGAGGAATACCACTAGACTATAGTACTAAGTGGCAAGTATTTACAAAGTTTTAAGTAAAATTTGATTTAAATAATTATTTTAAATTATTTTAGACGCTAGATCTAATTTTTGGCCGTTAGGTCTTTTTTTAATCGTTAGATTTGATCTCATTTGATCACAGCGGTTGGGTTATAAGTAAAAACAAAAACAAAAAATTGAAATATAACAGCTTGGTGGGTCTAGAATAATTTAAGCCAGACTTTAGTTTCTAGAGGGAATCTAGCTCAAAGATATATTTTCTCGCTAAGGCTTATTTTACTCTAATAGTTGAAGATGGTTTGGGGGAGGTATACAGCGTATATTTTAAGTTTTATCCTATGAGTCGGAGATGTTCTTATGTATTAGAAATATATATTACACATTAAAACCCATATTTCCATTTAGTTAACATATTATAAAGTAGAATGAAGCAAGGAAACGCAAAGATTGTACCACAAATTCTTGTTCAATCATGAAAACTTGGGCCTGAGATATAATAAATAAAAAAAATAAACGACGTTCAATCAAAAACATGATTGGAGAATTGATAGAGTACAGGTTAATGGATTATTTTTGCTCATGTCATAGTTAAGGTTAATTACACTAACACACTTTGAGGTTTATTATTTTTTACAAAACTCCGTCAGGTTTGAAATATTACACTAACACTGCTTGACGTTTTAATTCACTTTCACATTCACCCCATAAGGACGAAATTACCCTTCTATTTAATTATCTAAAATTAAAAATTTATAGATAAATGAATCAAATTCAAAAAATTACATTTAAACATTAGAAAGGATTAGAGCTCTTGCAAGATGGCATGGGTTCGAACCACGTCGATGGCTAATCTAATATCTAATATAACAAAATCTATTGTTTGACCCAAAAAAAACATTAGAAAGAAAAAAACATAAGAAATCCTCTTGCAAGATTTATCAATGTGGGAAATCGCCATCTACAGGTTGCGGATGCAATAACACCAGACAGCATTACAGCAAGAGAAGCAATGGCTATACATGTTATTGCCTAGTGTGCAGAAAATAACTGGATGCGGATGCAATAACACCAGGCAGCAGGCACCTATTGAATCCTTTAGTGAAAATGACCTTGTGTATATATGCTCTCTCGGTGGAGCATGTGAACAGTATGAGATCAAGAAAGGAAAATAATCGCTGCTTCCCTTGTTTTCAAAGTTTTAATGCTGATATTAGGAGGGTGGGGGGTGGTTCTGGCTAAGAAATTTGCAGGGAAGAAGAGGTTTGCTAATATAAGATATGCATCTAGGGTTTCTTTTTAATAATTTTTTTTTTCTTATTTATCTATAAAAGTTTTTATTTTTTAAATAATTAAGTACAAGGGTAATTTCATCCTTAGGGGATGGAAGTGAAAGTGAATTAAAACGTCAATAGGTGTTAGTGTAATGTTCCAAATCTGAGATATTTTTGTGGAAAAATGATAAACTTCAATGGGTGTTAGTATAATTAACCCCAAAGTCTTTAGTTGATGTAGGAGTGTGATATATATGCCATTCTGGGTTGTTTGAGTTAACATAATTTTGGTTTGATGTGTCAATTTTAAACCAATATTCATACGGTTTCGAAAAGAACAAGAAGCCCAACAAGACTCATTGCAATTAGTCCAGTGCGAATTGTGCAGAATAATATAGTCTGAATAAACAAATTAGTGTTTTTAAAAATTCTAGGAAAGTTTGATATTTTTAAATCATTTTATTTTTGTTTATCTTTTGGACTAGGATTGGTTTCGTGGTGATCAATTTTTTGCTTGTTTGTTGATATAAGGATATATTTATAATAAGAGTAGGGGAATAAATTGATATCGAACTTACTATCTACGAAATTAAAAATCTAAAACCTTTAATTAGTAGTACGAAGTGACTTTTGAACAATTAATTAAGTATATAAATTGTCCTGAAACCTCTAGTGTTTCCTACGAATTAGGGTTTTATGTTTTTTATTTAAGCCTACGTACGAAGTTGTATTATGTAATCTTTTATTCATAGTATCATTTAAACTCCTGACTTTTTTACAATTAATTTTTGTGTGAATTTCGGATTAATGAATTTCAGTTTGTCTTCTCGAATTTGAGTTTTGCAGGTGGTTTAGATTATTCGTATATTCCGCTGCATCAAAACTATATGGCCTGTATTAACTATATTGAACACGGAGCTATAATAATATTAGTGAGCTTCTAACAACGCAAATTCTGAAAGAATGATAAACGTAAGCTTCCAATACTGGAAGAAATCATAAAATTAGAACATTAATTCCCTTCTATCGCTGAATTCCAAATGGATCCCACTTTGCCATGAAACATAATACAGAAGCTAATAGCTTTAAGAACTAGACATGTCCTTATCTGAGATTATAAATTGAAAACCGAAAAACTAGAAGAAAAAAAAGTGAATTCGCACCTTGATCTAGTAGAGATGTGTAGAAAAGCTCAATACGCGTTGCTCCTCTGGTAGACATGAAGTTTAATTTCTCTCAATATATATAACATGATGGAGCTATTTAATTTATATAAAAGGGAGTTGCCATAGGGAGTTAGGTCAATTGATCAGAGCTTCCTTCCTATTTCAAGCTCAATGGCGATGGTACGTTACAGGGTTTTCCTTCAGGATTATCCTGACGATAAGCAGATGTTTGTACGCATCCACTATTTATTTTTCCCTACAACTTCCTTTTTAAGATTTCAGATTATCTTATTCATTTTATTATTGTTAGAAATTTGTTTGTTAGTGTGTTGAATGGAAAGTTTAAAGTCACCACATTTTCCTCTTAACTACGAAGCAAATAATGTCTATACAAAGGCAACATTCATAATTATTTATTAATGTATTATATCATATATGAAGAGAACGCGTACAGACAGTTCGACTTTGACCAATTTCACACAGACAACATTCATATATTAATACACACACATATAGGATCAAGAGACAAATACTTTTACAAATACTTTTACACTCTTTTTAAGCCCTTTGATTACATGACATCCAAGGGTTATTATTTATTCATTAAATGACATGAATGCTTACGTGAATTTTAACTAATAATAAAGATAAAATAAAACTGAAAAAAACATAAAATCTGGAAAATTAAAAATATAATTAAAAAATGAAGATAATTTAATTGAAATTGGTTGTCCCATTCCCATTTCTATCAAGACTTGGATTCAGACTTTGAACCGAAGCAATCACATGCATGCGCAACCAAAACACCGTCTAAGATTTCTTCTTAACTGCATTGCACACGTGGCCTAGGAACCAATTCTTCTCAGCTCATCCGACCACTCGCATTCAGTTGGAAATATAGAAAAAGGAATTCAAATTAAATAAAAAAATTGTGTTTGCTTATATGGTTAGGTTACTCTAATTTCTTGGTAGTTCTTGTTCGGGCAGGAATGTCACCGATGAGCGTTCCTGGCTCAAGCACACAGCTCCCCGTGGACTCCCTGTGGAGTTGGCACTTTGGTTGACTGTCTCGTTCTTGCTTTGTTCATCGGGCTGCAAGAAGATGACATAGTTAATTCTGGAAGGTGCCTTTATCAGGCCTTAAGTATAGGCTGTGAGGCTCACAATCAAAACTAACTTAAGTGTTGAGGCGTGCCACTGCCATCTCAATATGGCAGATGTAAAATGAGTAGATTTAAGCCGATTATTTACGCCCCAAGTTACTCTGACTTCTCATTATCAAAGGATTGTCGTGGATGGGTTAAGTCCACATTAGATTCTTTTCTATGCCTTGAGATCAATGACTTTTGTTTATCTTGTATGGTAAAAGGGCAGAGGTCCGGATCTAATCAAGGCATTAAGTGGATTCACTCTTAAGATAGTAAAACCATTTAACTAAAACCAGATCTGAGAGTGTGCTGAACTTTGGATCATTAAAAGACTTAAAATGATTTGAATACATACTAGGGAATTCATTACAACACCAGATCTATGAACTAAAAGACAAAAACAAAGGG